ATGCCCAAAAGGGGCTTCGGACGGCTCTCCCAGTCAGACTGGCCTGACAAGAAGAGTTCTCTTACATATGGTACTTAACACCATATATTTATATCTGTAAAAACACATATGACTATGATAATAAAATAAACTTTTATATAATGTTTGAGATTTATATATTGCAGGTACTTAAACTTACGCCGCTTCAAAATTTGGGATATTTAAATTAATTTTCCCAAGCAAATCATGTCACACGTGGAGGATTATTTTCCAGTTCATTGTTTTTCCTTTTCTTTAATATATCATGGGAAAAGGCAAAAGGTGATGACGACAATGGTGTCCTGACAGAGCAAGTGTAAGAATAGTGGACTATCATGTCCCCATTCAATCGAACCTTTTCTTTTCAAATACTTTTGCATCCCAAGCATACATAGAATGATAGAATGGTTGGTACAAATATATACGTAGTACTCCGTATATATAAGGTAATAAGGGTAATGCATGTATGTGGAAGTCTATATACATTATAACAATGTTTGATGTACCCACTTTTATACTCACCTTAGCTTATACTCACCATGTTTGTGAAGGTTTTTTTTATCTGTGAACCCGGGTTCACAGACAATATTTTGTCTGTGCAAAATATTGTCTTTGAGCCGGGATTCACAAACAAAAAAAACACTTCACAAACATAGGTGTGTACAAAAGTGGGTATAAGAATGGGTACAAAGATCTTTTTTGATAAACATTAATTAACACAACCTGCAAAAGCCTGCACATATATATAAAGGGTGAACCAGGCCAGCCTTTTTTATTTCATACGAAGTATTGTTTTACAGTTGTTGCAGAATGCAGATGGCTGATGAATTCAAGCATTTGGTTCTTGTTAAGTTCAAGGAAGATGCTGCCGTGGAAGACATTCTTAAAGGAATGGAAAAGCTTGTTTCCGAAGTGGACATTGTCAAGTCCTTTGTCTGGTAATTAATGCAATATACTATCTATGATGCATATTCACTGCGTCTCGTCTCTCCATCTTGAATGCTAATGTTACGTTATTGGGAACCAAAACTAAGTTTGAAAGATGTTGTTGTAGAGTCCATTTGGTAATACCAAAATAGGAGGAAAAGCAGGATTGACTGATTTTGCTAAAATTATACTACTCTGTCCCATAATGGTTGTCCACTTTCAATTTGGCACGATTATTAATAAAGTGGTTGAAAAGTATAAGTTGTGGTTGAGATTTGAGTATAATAAAGTGAATTGATAAGAACCACATATTTCATCCAAAAAAGGAAACAAGACATTCATTTTGGGACAACCCAAAAAGGAAAGTAGGACAACCAAAATGGGACGGAGGGAGTAGTTAAAAACATTTTATTAATAAAATAAAGAAACAATTATGAAAAATTAGCTAATATGGTTCTTGCATTAACTTTAGCCCCAAAAAGTAACTTCAACGTTATTTTTTCACATTGTTACAAAATTTTACGCACTAAATTAAAAGTAACATGATTAATGAAAATCTTGGCTTATAAGCATAATAAGCTGAAAAATATGGAAAAAACTCTTGTTACACATTTTTTGTACACACTTACACTCGTGTCTGTGAAGTGTTTTTTGTTGTCTGTATACAGACACAATGCATTTGAAGTGTCTGTGAAATAAGTTGTCTGTATACAGACAAAACCAAACACTTCACAAATACGAGTGTGTAAGTGTGTGTACAAAAATGTGTATCTCAAGCCTGGTTGACTTAGAGGCCGTTTGTCAAAAAGTGTGTACAAAAGTGTTTGTAAAATCAAAAATCTTGTATTTATGTATACGAAATATGTATATGGTTAGACTACTTTACCATTTGGCAACACTTTTTTTCAATTTATTAGGCTTATTGGTCAGCTTTTCTACCAAACACATAACTTTTGTTTTCGTGCGCTGAATTGTGTAATAATAAAAAAAGTAAGGTTGTAGTTACTTTTCAGGCTGTTTTGGCTGAAGTTACAATAGATGACTATTTTAGCTATTTTTACATATAAATTTTTCTTTATTTTATTAATAAAATATTTTTAAAAATATTTCTTCCCCTAAAATCAGCAGAATCAGCCAATGCAGTCACTTCAACCAGAACTTCATAAATTTCATCAGAATTGGCCGAATCAGCCGATTTTCGTGTTACCAAACGGCCTCTTAGTTGCTGGCATATATATTGTCATTTTGTTTTAACTTTTTCATAGGGACCTATATCAAAATTATGATGGTAGACTTAGAGGCCGTTTGGCAACACTCTTTTTCGGCTTAACATGCTTATCAGCCAACTTTTTTACCAAACTCGTAACTTTGACTTTCGTGCGCAGAATTGTGTAATAAGCAGAAAAAATAAGGTTGAAGTTACTGTTCTGGCTGTATTGGCTGAAGTTATGGTAGATGACCATTTGAGCTATTTTTACAAATATTTTTTGTTATTTTATTAATAAAATATATTTCAATTTTTTTTGTTAAATCTTCAGAATCAACCAATGCACCCACTTCAACCTGAGCTTAATAAATTTCAGCAGAATCAGCCAAATCAGCCGATTTTCGTGCTACCAAATGAGCTATTAATAATGTCTATATTTTGCTTGTTTGAGGCAGTGTCTTCAACAAAAACATACCATTGTTAGTCGAAGTCTTTCAGATTTTTAGAAATTAGACTATCCTTTATAGACTATTTAAAGGTGAGTATGACTCTGGGTTAGCAGGTAATGTGTTGGAATTGACCAACCTTGCAGATTTATAACACAAGCTTTAAAGAACCTGTTCATGTTTACAAAGTGCATTAAAATGCCACATTGTTGCCATTATTTATTCTATTGAATTTATTTGTTTATTTTTAAATAGGGGAAAAGACACAGAGAGCCATGAAATGCTAAGACAAGGCTTGACACACGCTTTCTTGATGACATTCAACAGCAAAGATGATCACACTGCCTTTGCTAGCCATCCCAAGCACCTCGAGTTTTCGGCTTCTTTCTCGACTGCAATTGAAAAGGCTGTTCTACTTGATTTCCCCTCCATTGCGGTTAAACCTCCCGCCATGGAGGTTAAAACTCCCGCCATGGATGTTAAACCTCCCACCGCCTAATCATTCCAGACAATATGGTTATCACATTGCCATGTGAAATAAAATTCCTGTTTCTTTATATGCTCAGATGTGTGCTGATATATGTTTAGTTGTAATTTAATCAGACATTATATGTTACTGTAGTATTCCAGTCATGAATTTGATATTTATGTTCCCACTAAATGTCTAGCTAAATAACTTTGAGATTTATTAATGGTTGTGTGATTTTAAATGGGGATATTTTTTGAAATATTTTTTTTTTTGAAATATTTTAAATGTGGATATAAATGAGCATTGATGTTACTCTCGTAACATTGTGTGATTTTGTTTTTGGTATTAATATAAAGTGTTGAACGATGGAGAAAAAGATTGGAAAATGTGTATCTCTCGTAATTTGTGTTTCTTGCTTTAAATTAAAAATGGTGAAATAGCTATTTTTTAGAGTGGTGAAATAGATTTGTTGATCGAAGTATGAAATGACTGTACTTTTACGGCTTGGATTTCCTTCCATGTTCGTAAAGGGCTCAACCACCAAGAAACTCACCATCGAATAGTGGCACCACGAAGGTGCGCCTAGCTATCTAGAGAACCTTCTCAACACTTTCAATGGGGTCAAGGAGTATGGAAGAGAAGAGATCAAAAAAGGTGACACACAAGGACAAGACAGGAAAAATCGGAGACGAGCTTCCTCTCTCTCCTCTCACAAACTCTTTCGGTCTCGTGTTGGGCTTGGTGTACACACTATCGCTCTGCATGAGAATGTGAGAAGGTAGGGGGAAAATATTGATTCCTCTTTTTTGCATGATTTTGGATTACTGTTGGATCATGAGAATGACCAATATGAACCCTTAGCACTCCTTTAACCATGAGAGTGGCAAGGAAACTTATGCATATCCCTTTAATTTGTTGCATTATATGCTTTCAAGTATCCCTATTTTGTCCCTTATTCTGAATCATAGGTTGGTCTTTGAATGCCTTCACTTCCCTTTTAATTTAATCGTTTATTTATCTATCCTCATTGCTACTTAGTTGTTTTTCGTTAATCAAGCATATATCGATTTCGCTAGTTTACGTGTTGGATTACTAGATTTATTTCACACTTAATTTTTCAATACACCATCCCATGATATGATATCTGGGACTTCCACATTTCGACACCCGATGAGCATCATTGTGAATATGACTCTCGTTGACTAATCCTCAACTCTCAATGACACACCCATCACGTTGAGAGACTAAATCATGCGTAAATCCAGCAACCATTCAAGTTTGAGTATGTTAGGAGCCAGGCTGGACTTATTAATCAGAATAGATTCAAAGGCCGGGTCTATTCTAGGAGGAAACCGCATAGTTAGTTATTAGAGTAATTGGTTGTAACTAATAACTACTGTAGTAGCTTGGGGAAGGGGAAATAGCTAATAAATAGAATAAGTCCAGTCAAGATGGGCAGGCTATTAGACCTTGAGTCTTGGGACTAGGAGATTAGAGAAGCTTGTTTCTCTTTTCTTGGGAGCTCGGTTGTACTGATTCTGATGATTGAATAAACTACTCTTGATTGTTGATTTCTATTGCCTTGTATGTGATTTTTTCTTAACTGTGTTAGTTGAATTGGGAGAATCCTAACATTGGTATCAGATCTTTTCGGTCCTGTGAATGGTAGGCACGAGAAGAAAAATGGATGAACGAGTGTCTGCGATCGAGAAAAAGATCGATGAATCAAATGCGAGGTATGAAGAACTATTAATGAGGATGCAAGCTGGTATCGATGAGTTGAAGAATCGGAAAATGGAGAGATTGCGGAGTAGATCGCATCGATCGACATCTTCTCACCACAGTTCGCATTACAGACATGATAGGCTCGTTCCGTTCCTATCTTTTCACCTATGCTTTGGGTGTTAATTGTCTAATTTTTACAATTAATTGGGTGACTATTGGGGGTTTTGAGTGAAAATTTGTTATTTTTCGGTTCCGGTGGCATTCATATTCAGTGTAGTATTTTTGTACACAATTTGACATTTTTGGAGTAATTTGATTGTAAAGTTACATATTATTAGCGGGTGTGGTGAGTTGTTATTGTACAGGCCGAGTTTGCGGTAAATATGTTTGGACCGGATCATTTAAGGACTGTTTTTGAAGTTAAGTGCAATCCAAAATGAAAAAAAAGGACAGCAGCAGTTTGTTTAATTGATAGCAGCCCAAAAAGAGAGTAATAAGGAGCTGGGGTTTTTCCTGGAGTAAGAAGCCCAGCCTGGAATCCATTCATTCCTCCCACTTCTGAAATTACTTAGCCGCACCAGCAGTTTTTTTCATCATTCTTTCTGTTCCTAGACAAGTCCTGCTATCCGTCAATTAGCCGCAGTAGATTTCAATTAGCCGCAACCAGAAGTTTTCTCTTCCATAACTGCAGCAGCAACCACAAAGACTAAGCAACGATTTTCCTTTCCTTTACTGTTAGAAGAGCCGGCAACAGCAAGAATGGATTCACGAAAGGCATAAGCTTCACTTTCTTCAATTTATTTCAATTCAATTTAGCTTTTGAGCAAGAATTGTAAGTGTTAGCATTTTTGACATTACTAGTTCGTACTTTTGGATTGAATTTTGAATTTGTTCATCTCCAACTTATAATTTCAGTTTCTTTCCATTAAATAGTCATACTCTAGTTTTTTTGCTAGCTTCGTATCATGTTTATAAATGTTATTGTGATGTTAATTTTAATTATGAGTAGCTAATTCCATATAGGGTTTGAATTGGGGCTAGGGTTCATGGGTTCTTGAGGATGTGAATTTAGTTTTTCTGAAATTCAATTAATTTTCTGGAAAATTTGTATAAGATTAATCATAATTGTCTATATGAATTTGATCACCTCATATATGAATCTTTGGATTTAATTCAGTTCTTGTCTATGAGAAATTGAGTTAAATTAGCTTGAATCTTATACAAGCAATCTGATCTTAGAAATAAGTTAGGATTGTCGAAATATGATTTAATTCTTGTCTATGAGAATTTATTTCATTTTCTGTCCAGGAATAATTGAAAATTAATTTACTTAATTCTAATCCGGAAAGAACACCCAGAACCCGAACCATCCAATTTGAACCCTGCTTTTATATCTAGAATTAATTTAATTATTTGTTTTCCTCTCTACTTATTTTTGCATTCGCTATTAGTCAGTTTATTAGTCAGTTTTATTTTCAAACCACTCAAAAAATATTTATTCGGAAAGATTACCATGACTTATGCTAGCCTGTGATCACGGACTGTATTTAAAACTTCCTTTTTGCCACTCCTTGAGAGACGATACTCGTGGTCTGGTTATTCTTCGGATTAGCCAACTACGTTTTACTCACTATAAAATACACCGATCAAATGGCGCCGTTGCCGGGGAGTGGTACGGTTGTTTGTTAAGTACTTTTCTGTGGAATAGGTAAAAGCAAGTCGGTGAGACTTTCTATTTTTTCTGTTATTTGTTTGTCGTTTTTGGTGTTCTTTGCACGTGAACTAAGCTGCAGGAACCAGTGTATGCGCACTCGCTCCTCGGGGGAACAAGATTTAATTGCAGGTTATTCTGATCCTGAGCGCTTATTCCGAGGACGAGCTAAAAGGAGATTGCTAGAACACTTGGACAAGATGGCTGATCAGACAACTCTGGAGACGTTGACGCCTAATTATGTGGCGAGAAATAGCATTGGTGCACCCACCATTGAGGCCAACAAATTTGAAATCAAGCCAGCCATGATTCAGATGCTTGCTAATAATCCAATGGAGATCCAATGGAGCATATCGAGAGCTTTATTCAAACTTGTGCCACATTCAAATATAATGGAGTGTCCAGTGAGGCAGTCAGGCTGACTTTATTCCCATTCTCATTGAGAGACAAAGCTTCACAGTGGCTCCGTAGCTTTCCAAACGGGCACTTTGATACATGGGAGAAGCTTCATCAAGCATTTATGCAGGAGTATTTTCCTCCCTCTGCCGCTATCAAGGTTCAGACGGAAATTCTCAATTTCACTCAAGCTCCAACCGAAACTTTCAGTGAAGCATGGGATAGGCTGAAGACGTTGAAAAGGAAGTGCCCTGAAACATTCATGAATGCAGCAACAATTATGTGCAGATTTTATAATGGGCTTCGGTTGGAGTATATGAGAGAACTGGACCGGGCAGCTCAGGGGGGTATGTTTCTAAAATTATCCCCACAGGCAGAAGAGAAAATAATTGAGAACCTGGCCTCAAATGATAAGTATTGGTATGCGGGCAAAGAGAGAGTTCAAAATCCACCCGGTTTGCTCAATCTTGATCCCATCACTGCACTTATAGCGAAGATTGAGGGACTGGCAGTGGACGTGAAAGACTTGAAGGCACAAACCTCTCAGCAGCAGCAGGCTCATATTATTGGGGCATATCAGCCCTCTTATCCTATGTATTCTGCCCCACTTCCTGTTCGAGCAAGCTATCCAAGCCCAACCGGCCAAGAACTCGCTTTATCTTGCGAGATGTGCATGGGAGCTCACCTCACTCACACATGTCCTCTTTATGTTCAGAATCAGGCATCACCAGTGGTCCAGAACGTCAATTTCATGGAATATGGTCAAGGCCAGAGAGGAGGTGGACAATTTTTCAACAATCAAGGTCAGAGAGGAAACTTTCAGCAAGCAGGAGGCACGTGGAGGCCTGAAAATCAGAATCAAGGGCATCAGAATGCCCCTAATTTTCAAGCAAATTTCCAGAATAGAGGCCATCCAAACCAGCCCGCTTATGTCCCGCCTCATCAAAGACAGCTTGAGCAGCCTCTTGTAAGTTCGGCGTTGGAGAAAACAGTGGCTGAATTAGCCAAAAGTCAGGCTGATATGCATCAACGTTTCAGCAATTTGGAAGCTCTCATTCGCCAGCTTGGTTCACTTGCTCCTAGAGAAACGGGCAGCCTTTCGAGTTCAACAGAACCTAACCCAAGGGAGCATGTGCAAGCTGTTATGCTACGAAGCGGGAGAACACTTCCAGAAGTTTCTACTCCGCCAATGCCTCAACAAGATGATGACCAGCAGCTTCAAGGCCCCAAATCCCAGGTTGAAGAAGAACCAGTGGCTGCCCCTATTCCAGCCAAGAGTGAAGAAGTCCAGAATGAAGAAGCTCATAAGAAAAAGGAGAGTAAGAAGACTCCACCCCTCCCGTTCCCTACACGGGTGAAGAGAAACAACGATAACACGAACTTGATCAGATTCATGGAGCATCTGAAGCAGCTCCATATCAATATGCCATTCATGGAAGCATTGACAGAGATGCCGAGGTACGCGAAGTTTCTAAAGGACCTCCTCACGAAAAAGAGGAGGTGGGAAGAGCCCGAAGTTGTGGATCTCAATGCAGAATGTTCAGCAGTTGTTCTAACGACCATGCCACCGAAGCTAAAAGATCCAGGGAGTTTTCTTGTACCTTGTTCTATTACAAATTTTAAGTTTAATAATGCTTTAGCTGATCTGGGAGCGAGCATCAATTTGATGCCTTCCTCTGTGGTCATGAAACTTGGCTTGGGTGAACTTAAGCCCACTCGTATGAGCCTCCAGCTAGCGGACCGATCGGTGAAATACCCGAAAGGAATTCTAGAGGATGTATTAGTACGGGTGCAAAAGTTCATATTCCCTGTCGATTTTGTGGTCATGGACATGGAGGAAGATTGTGAGACTCCACTTATTTTGGGGAGGCCCTTTCTAGCTACTGCTAGGGCCCTTGTTGATGTTGCTGATGGTTCACTTTCTCTGAGAGTTGGAGATGATGTGTGTACTTTCAAACTCTCAAAGGTGACGAGTAAGGCCTCAGACCCCACTGAATCATGCAATTATCTTGATATGTTTGAGTTAGTGGAGGGGTATTTGTTTGGAGGCGATAGTGATATTACCCCACCAGATAGTGACATTCATTATATGGGGGATGTTGTTGCCAGAAATGAAGAAAACATGATTGTTGACTGCGAGCAGGTGATTAGGGATGATATTTTCCCTGATTTGCTTACTGAGTTTGAGGAGCATCCCACTAATAAGGTTACTCCTGAACTCAAACCACTCCCTAGTCACCTAGAGTATGCATTTTTGGATACAGAGGGCCAATGCCCTATCATTATTTCGGCTCAGTTAGATTCGGGACAGAAGGAAAAAATGTTGAAAGTCCTTAGGCGTCAAAAGCAAGTCATTGCTCGTAAGCTTGAGGATCTTCATTTGATCAGCCCGACCTTCTGTACCCACAAAATCAAGTGTGAGAAGGGGGGATTCTTACCTAGTAGGACTGTGACCGGGTGGCGGATGGTCGTTGATTATCGTAAACTGAATGAGGCCACCCGGAAGGATCACTTTCCCTTACATTTTATTGATCAGTTGATTGAGAGTTTGGCAGGGCATGCTTATTATTGTTTCCTTTACGTGATGAGCGGGTACTTTCAAATACACGTTGATCCCGTTGATCAGGAAAAGACTACTTTCACTTGCCCATTTGAGACATATGCATCTCGTTGGATGTCTTTTGATCTATGCAATGTCCCTGTCACATTTATGCGTGGAATGATAGCTATCTTTGAAGAGTTTATCGGTGACTTTAAGGAGGTTTTAAGCCTTGAGCCAAGTTAGGAATGAGGGCTTATTGTCAAGCTAGTGACGTTAAAGAAGCGCTTCTGGGAGGCAACCCACCATAAAAAAAATTCATTCAAAAAAAAAAAGAATTAGGAAATTATTTCTTGTTTTTGCATTCTTGTTCCCGTTGTTTTTATGTTTTCATCTTGTGGTTGTGCGGGTGGATCTCTTTGCTCTGAATTGCAGGTGCTGCATGGTTATCATAGACAGGTGAGGATGGAGCTCCTCAGGGCTGTCAGCTGCAGATTACTTTGCAGCAAGCCCGAAAGCGGTATGAGAGCTGGACGCAACTTCAAACACTTGCAGGGCAATGGTTAGAGGCCTACACATGTTCAAGGAGTTGGGGTTTCGCTGGACAGAAACTTGGCAGCAGCAGAGGAACATTTCTGGCAGATTCTGGGAGATTTTGGACGGTGTGAGATGCCGACTTTTGAGGCCAGAACAGCTGGTGCTTGGCCGTTTTCTGTCAGCATAAGCATCACAGTACATGAGGGAGGAACCAGTTGGATGCCACACACTCTTATCTGGTTCAGATTGAAGGGAAGCAATTTCAATACACTTATTGAGTTCGGTAACCGGCATAGGTGCAGGCAGAGTAGCTCCCGCAGCTCACTTTTGGTTTACCAGCAAGCTTTGGCAGCATAAATGGGCAGTTCACAGTTATGGCACACTTGCCACGCTTTCTCAAGAGTTGAAGGACTTCAAGTAGCGTACGAGGCAGACTGTGTGCAGGATTCAACGGCATGCGTGCATCGAGGAGACTGCTTTCAGCCTTATTCCGGAGGTTATTCATCGTCGTTTTGTTTGTACGGTATTCTGCCAACTTTTACTACGCTGCTAAGAATGTGTGCTTACTGTCATATTACTCCTTTGTTGAATTGTGTCGATTATTATTCTAATTATGATGTGCTTCCGGGATGAAAACCATTTTATTCTTTAACTTGCCCTCTTTATTTTTGCTTTTATATCTTTTCTTTGACCTCGAGGGCGATGTCAACCCTAAGTGTGGGGAGGTTTGGTTTTAGCTTGAACATGGCATTTGGTGATGAAGTTATTCTGCCCAACAACATTTTGAGGTGTCCGAGTTCTTTTCTGGTTTAGCAACGCAACAGAGGTAACTTGTTAATCTTTATTTTCTTTTGTAATATTCCATCTCCTCCATCTTTCTTGGAAAGGATTAGTAATGGTGTAATCATCGGGGTGGTGTGTATATTCTTGGGAAATGTTGGCATGTTGGATGGTTTGATTTGTGTTGATTAAATTCGGTGTTTACTCGTGATTCACTTGTTTGTCATCAATAATTCCTTGACTGGCCAGGTGTTGAAAATCCTTACTCCGTAAGGAGCTCTGCTTTCTAAGCATATCGGGATAACTTCATGCTAAGTAGGTAACTGATTCTTGTAATGGGGTTACACTTCGTGTGTCGAGAATTTCATCCCCGAAATGGGGCTCTGCTCATCTCGCGAGAGTTGAGTACACAGTAATGAGATAAACTCCCAGGCCCTAGAGCTTGAACCAGTCCTGTAATCCAGAACCTGGTCAACTTTTCGTATTCAAAAAAAAAAAAGAATCACGATTATTCCGAGTTTTATCATACAACTCTTGGGTTTTTGGAATGATTGGTGGTTTGAATTTCACACACCTACACCGTTGGGACCATCATGCTTTTCTTTACATTTCAGTTGGTTGGAGAGGGACTTTACTTTTGAAAATATTGTTTAACATGTGAATCTTGGTTTCGTTGTTAAGGAAGAAAAGACCTTGTGCAATCGTTTGTTTTGGGTGTGAATGATTTTTGAACCAGGTGTTATAGGTGATTATTTTGTTTTCCGTGGGATTAATGCACTGTTGCTTGGGGGCAAGCAACGCTCAAGTGTGGAGAGATTTGATAGGCTCGTTCCGTTCCTATCTTTTCACCTATGCTTTGGGTGTTAATTGTCTAATTTTTACAATTAATCGGGTGACTATTGGGGGTTTTGAGTGAAAATTTGTTATTTTTCGGTTCCGGTGGCATTCATATTCAGTGTAGTATTTTTGTACACAATTTGACATTTTTGGAGTAATTTGATTGTAAAGTTACATATTATTAGCGGGTGTGGTGAGTTGTTATTGTACAGGCCGAGTTTGCGGTAAATATGTTTGGACCGGGTCATTTAAGGACTATTTTTGAAGTTAAGTGCAATCCAAAATGAAAAAAAAGGACAGCAGCAGTTTGTTTAATTGATAGCAGCCCAAAAAGAGAGTAATAAGGAGCTGGGGTTTTTCCTGGAGTAAGAAGCCCAGCCTGGAATCCATTCATTCCTCCCACTTCTGAAATTACTTAGCCGCACCAGCAGTTTTTTTCATCATTCTTTCTGTTCCTAGACAAGTCCTGCTATCCGTCAATTAGCCGCAGTAGATTTCAATTAGCCGCAACCAGAAGTTTTCTCTTCCATAACTGCAGCAGCAACCACAAAGACTAAGCAACGATTTTCCTTTCCTTTACTGTTAGAAGAGCCGGCAGCAGCAAGAATGGATTCACGAAAGGCATAAGCTTCACTTTTCTTCAATTTATTTCAATTCAATTTAGCTTTTAAGCAAGAATTGTAAGTGTAAGCATTTTTGACATTACTAGTTCGTACTTTTGGAAGGAAAATCGATCTTCCTTTGTTCAGAGTGAGTGGGATTCTCACTCTGAACATTCTGACGCCAACAGCGATAACGACTCACATCGGAATCGCAGGAAACATCATCCTGTTGCACTACAAAAAAATTGATTTATAGAGGCAACTCTTCGAGGCAACTTATATGTCGTTGTCCCTAAAAGTATGTTTTAGCATCATATAAGTCATGGTTGCCTCTAAAAACTATCATTTGAGACAATCATATTATACTTGCCCCTAAAAACTATCACTTGGGAGCAACCATATTGAACTTGCCTCTAAATGTATCATTTGGGAGCAACATTTTTATGTTTGCCTCCAAAAGTTTGACACAAAAGTATAATTGCCTCTAAACATGTGCTTCTAAAAGTTTCTTGAGGCAATGACATATTTGCGCCTCTAAAATATATATTTAACGTTAACTAAATTACGGTGACCTCTAAATGTGTGTATACATGTAATTGAATTTACGCAATAAACTTAACATTTTCTAACATGTTTACCGATTTATTATTATTAATTTTATTGGGGAGTAAGTTTTAATATTTTTGTTGCTCACCTTTAAATTTTCAATTTTTAATTTTTTTATTTTTATTTTTTACAAATAAGAAATAAAATATACTATAAAAACGATTTATAGAAGCAGAAAGTAATTGGAGGCAACAATCTTACAATTGCATCAATTTGAAGAAATATTTTCAAAGGTTCATTATGAATGCACAACTGCCCGTAAATCATCCACTTCTAACTAGGGAGTGCTTTTAACTTTTTAAAGTGATTTGAGAAAAAATGATTAATAGTATAAATTGGTAGTGTTTGAGAAAAAAGTGACTCTGAAAAGTAAAAATTGATGGTGTTTGGTAAAATAAGTTCCTTTTGTGTAATAGAAAAAGTAAAAAGCAGACTCTAGCTTTTAACTTTTAATTAAATAATTTAAGTAGAAGTTATCAAAACATTTTTTTAGTTTTTTTAAGCTAAAACCATAGAAATGCTTTTTATTCCAAAAAGCCTAATAAATGTGGGCTCACTTCTAAGGCAAACACTTCAGGGCACAATTGCCCGGCTATCACTTGATTGCCGCATATTGGGCAATCCGGCATCTTCGCCGGCGCAACATTCAGTCAAAGAGACTAAGGGATCCAGAGGGCGGTGATGACTAGATTCAATTGGCCAATGGAGGAAGGGATGTCGCGAACGTGACTCTACGATTCGGCTCCTTCTCTGTAAATGTCGAAGAGGGAAACTTTCAGGTCCAGGACACTACCAAATCGCGTAATCCCATCCAGCAGCGGTCAGAGTACAACGAAGGGGATACCTGATACGACTCAGAGATGGTGTGGTTTCATCCGACGGACTTTGTCTCCCAAGCGAAGGCGGACTGTTTGGTCGGCAATAGCGGGTGTGCGGTTCCATCTCAGAGTCGGCGGCAAACTGTGGCTGCCGATTGGAATCTGCAATCTAACGCCATGTAATTAGTGGGCGACCTCAGCCCTGTTCGTGAGCGGTGCAGGGTAGCCTATCGCAATGGCTGCAGTCTACACTCCACACGGATGTGAACGATGGTTGTACAACCTCAATCAACCGCATATATACAACGCAGAGGAGACTTTTGTTCAACGATATAAGACCAGGTTAGGGTTTCATATCTTTTCTACTAATTATCGAACTTTCTGTGATACGGATACCCAGGGAAATCTCATCATTGAAAGCAGGGGTGGAGACAGGGGGTGGCTGGCGGTGGCCGTGGCCACTGCAAGAAAAAATTTGTGATGTATATACATATGTATAAATATTTATAAGTAGTAAAAAATATAGTGAAAATTTAAGTATTGGCCCCGACTATATAAATTCCTTAAGCTCCGGCCCCTGTAACTTGACATTCCTGGCTCCGCCACTAATTGAAAGTAAGCATTTCTGTTTCAATACATATCTGCCCCTTATCTGCGTTAGAGAGAGTAAACATTGATTAATTTATGCTATTTATTTTTATTATGATTTTGATGGTGCCCTTTGGCTGACCAAATACTTGTCAAAGTATCCTCCTGAAAAAGCACATTCCAGAATTGTTATTAACGAATACGTAATACATTACTATTTGGATTCGCTTAGGAGCATAAGGTTCATTAATATGAATGAAGCAATTTCTTCTATGTATATGGTTAAAGCTCTTTAGCATCTTGGTGAGTGTTCAAGATAAACACAGTTCATGATAATAGTTTATCGTGTTCCCTATTTTTATTGGAGTTACTGATATCATTATTATTTCCTCAAGTTAATTAATCCTGAAATTGCATTATTGAAAGGTTAAAATTTTATTAATAACTATAACAAGCAGCACTCTGTACCCATACTTTTCTGTTTTCATTATAAAAATTGATTGTGTAAGTTTTCACATCATTAATTTAGGATGGTGATATGACTGATAACTTATTCTTGTGAAACTGTTTTTGTAATTTATACATTTGATATTGCTCTCACTCTATTTAGTTTGCTCTTACAGGCAGCCAACTAGCAGTGATTTCAATTAGTGATATACGGAGTACAAGATTATAAAGTGCCTATTCAAGTATTACTTCTACAACAAGTAGAAGGTGCGTATTCATACTTTTGTATTTTCATTATGAAAAAAATGTTTGTGTAACTATCTAAAATATTAACTTAGGAGTTAGTATGATGATATCTTATTTGTATGAATTTTTTTTTAATATAACTTATGAGTTTAGATATGATATTGCTCACACTATTTAGTTTGTTTTCAGAGGCAACCAATTAGCAGTGATTTATACTACTGATATACACAATTTTAAAATGCATTTTCAAGTAAGCTTTACTTATGATGTTTGTTTAATACGAGTAAGCATAATTTTTGAATCTATATTTTATGGTTTTAATTCAGTCTAACTAGACAGTGCATGAAGTGACTTTTAGGTCAGGTTTTGACTGAATTGTTGAAGTACAATTCACTTTGGTTCTGTGTAAAAACAAAAACATTCACAAGGAATTTTTGCACATCAGCTTCTTACCTTTTGTTTGTGAGGTGTTTTGAGTGTTTTCCTTATAGTTGTACTGAGTGTTTTCCTACAAACATGTACCAGGTTTTTTGTTGTACTAATGCAAATATTCTAGTTGCAGTCTATATAAGATAAACTAATTGAAAATTGTTAATTAGCTTTTTTGTTGAAGTTACAGTAGTGGCAGGCTGTTGCAGATTTTTTAGCAGTTAGCTGCAAATATCTTACTACGGAGTACAATATTTCCAGATATCTCTTAAAACAGTGGTGGCGATGGCAGCGATGATACCAATGGTGATGGCGATGATGATGAAGTACCTCTCCAGAGCACCATTTTAAACTTTTAGATCTGGTCTACTTTAATGTTTTAGTAAACTCTAGTCAATTCTGTATAGAGATTATTGAGGTGTAGTATATTATTACTCCGTAGTAATTTAGTTTGAATACATTGTAAGTTTATTTAGCTATTCAAGTACACTCCTATGTTGACATTCTTCCTTGTACTATAAAGAATAATTTACTTGAGTGATGTTTTTATGTATTTTTGTCTAAAAGTATATGTGGTAATACATAGTGTTACTTCTATTGAGACAAAATGACATGGTGGTCGCTAAATATATACGTAGTATTGTTTAAACTTGAGCATAAGGTTGCCTCTAAACGTTTTCTACATCAATACTAAAACTTGCATCAGAATATTTTTAATAACAATTTTAGTTGCCTCTAAAAATTTCTTGAGTCATGATATGGTTGACTCTAATTGTATTTTTAGACAACATGATATGGTTGCCTCTAATGTTTTTTTGGAGGCAAAGAGATGTGATTGCTCCTAAATGTGTTTTTTTAGAAGCATAACTTTTGCTGCCTCTAAAGGGGGCTTTTGGAGGCAAATGACATTTAGCGACCGACTATTTGTTGGCAACCACTAAATTGCCTCTAAAGAGCATTAGAGGCTAGTTTCCTATGTTTTGAGGCAATTATGTCATGCCTCTATAAATCAATTTTATTGTAGTGTTGGAAGGAAAATCGATCTTCCTTTGTTTAATGGCAAAGATGTGTTCGGGTGGCTTGTGCGGATGAACCGATACTTTCGGTTGAATCGAATTGATGAGGAAGACAAAATCGATACTGCAGTAGTTATTAGTTACAACCAATTACTCTAATAACTAACTATGCGGTTTCCTCCTAGAATAGACCCGGCCTTTGAATCTATTCTTATTAATAAGTCCATCCTAGCTCCTAACAATCATACAAGAATATTCAGCAACCAGAGGACATTCAGGGACTTTCAGGACTATGAAAAGGATATCTACCTTGTTTTATTGGGTTGGAATGACAAGAGATATTCAGAATTATGTCTAGAGTTGTGAGGTATGCCAAAGAAACAAGTATCAGGCGTTAAAACCAGCTGGGTTATTGCATCCTTTGCCTATTCCCGAGCAGATTTGGACTGAAATCAGTATGGATTTTATTGGCGGTTTACCCAAGGCACAAGGAAAAGATATTGTTTTGGTTGTAGTGGATCGGTTAACAAAATTTGCTCATTTTATAGCCTTAACCCATCCATACAATGCAAAAGGAGTTGCTGAACTATTTGTAAAAGAAGTGGTAAGGCTCCATGGATTTCCTAAATCCACAGTGAGTGATCGAGACAGTGTTTTTTTGAGTTTTTTTTTGTCTGAACTTTTCAAGTTGGCTGGTACCAAGCTGAAATACAGCACAACTTACCATCCACAATCTGATGGGCAAACAGAAGTGGTTAACATGTGTTTGGAAACATATTTGAGGTGTCTTACTGGAAGGAAACCGAGAGAATGGACTAGGTGGTTACCTTGGGCAGAATATTGGTATAACACCAATTACCATGTGTCCATTAAAAAAAAACCCTTATCAAGCCTTATATGGGCAAGAACCTCCTGCATTGGTTAAGGGAGATGTAACCAAGACTGCAATGGATGAAGTGGCTAGACTGACAACGGAAAGGAATGACATGTTAGCAGAATTAAAGGAGAATTTAGCAGTGGCTCAAAATAAGATGAGACAGCAAGCTAATAGACACAGAAGAGATTTGAAACTGGAGGTGGGAGAACAAGTTGTTGGGTTAATGGCCCGAGTTGAGGTTCGGCCCATTTACCGCTTCTTCCAGACGTACGTCCAGATAGGACACTAAGCTAGCCTGGCAGGCCCATGTTCCTCCAGGAGGGACGAACGTCTGCAGTTGGGGTTTAGGCTCAACGGCCCATCTCGACGAACGTCTATGCAGGGACAAGGAGCAGGACCACGGGTCACCAGAATGACGACGAACGTCGTCAGAGCAA